GGGGAAAGACAAAGAGATAAGGATGAAGGTGGATGACATTTGGAGGAGGGGGTGGCGGTTATGCCATTTATTCTTCAACCAGGACGCTCTCTCTGCACCCTAATGGATGCCAACTGGTTATACTGCACAACTGTCTTGGGCTCCCAGCTTGTCTCCAGCTCAGCAGAAGGAAAGGTCTGTCTGTGACTTGCAACCAGTCCTACTTCTCCCTGGCTTTTGCAGACACTTCTGGTTTAATATTGCTGTATTTCAGAACTGGCAAGCCATAAGGTGAAAACGTTGATCTTACATTACAGGAGCGTCTTCTGCAGGCGGGGGGGGAGCATGCTAGCACTGTATTGGGCTCAGGGATCCTTTTCCAGCCCCGGCACTGCTGGTGCTTCCTGTTCAGAGCAGGACGGCTGGGCACCAGCACTCCCCAGCTCTGCTCCTGCCTCAGCCACTGAATTTCTGGGTCCCAAGGCAAATACTTGCTGCTTTTTGCATCTGAAGATGCCCTCACTGAGGGTTTGATACAGTAATAACCTATCACCAATTTAATATTCACAAAGTGCTGTGAGATCCTCAAACAGGAGGATAAGAAGGAGGAGGAAAACATTTTTGGGTAGATGAGGGGGAAGCAAGCTGGCCCACAAGTTGCCACCTCCCAAATTTCTGCCTTTCTCCTCTTCCCATCTTCTCCGCTGTGTATTCCCAGCTCTCCAGCACAGGGAACGTCCTGAAGGATGGCTAGGCAGGATATAAGAAGCAGCACAAGGTTATGAGCCTGGGAGGAGAATGCATCTTTCACTGGCTTGGTGGGAACTGCATGTAGATGGTTTATGAAGAGCAAGCAGAATGGAGGGACATGAAGCTCATGTCCAGAAAGAAGCCTTCAGAGGGGCTTATTCTTCAGGGATACAGATGCTTTGCTTCACAGCTGCGGCGCTCTATCGAACCAACTACATTAAAGCTCAGGTGTGGCCTCTGTGGAGGGTTATTGGCACCTTGCTGCCACATGGATGCAAAACCCTTAAGATGAACAAGCAAAGCTGAGTTGATTTGTATTGGTACAACCTACCTTGGTTTGAGGTAAGAAGCTGCACCAGCAGAAGTGTGCTGGTGCGTCTGTGTCCCGTAGGTGACATAAGGGCAGAGCAGAGCGCAAGGGTAAGCAAGCTCATCTCTCCGTCCGTTTCATCTGTGTGTCTGCAGCCTCTGTAGTGATAATCCAGTGCTTTGCACTTGCATATATCCTTTCACTGAGCAGCACGGAACATGCTTTGTAGGAAGGCGAGTTGCTTATTTGTCTCACGCAAGGAGAAACTGAGACAGAGAGGAGAAGGGTCCTGCGAGAGTAATTTAGGAGATCAGCAAAGCCAAAGGCTGTGCATGCCAGCCCCCGCTTCAGATCTTAGTCAGTGATTTTTCAGACTGTTTCAGTTTTGCAGATGTCCTAAAAAGTTTCCAGCAGAGGTACAGAGCCTTACGCAGTAAATGTAAAACCCCGATAACAGCCTTGTTTTTCCTTGCTCCCCGCTGCAGATTCTTTTGATCCTGCAAGGCTGAAAACCTCTGTGCTAAACGCATTACTGCTGGTCGCAGTACACGAGTAACTCTAACAACGTGATGAGCCCTTTTTAGGGCAGATAGGAAGCAAATAGGCCTAACGTTGCTTGGGGAATATTTCTTCCTAATCCTTTCTGTCTCAGAGCAGAAACGCAGCCTGTTGTTACGGCGAGCTCTGCAGTCTGTGCAGCTTCCCGCCCTGACCGGGTTTAGGGGGGCTTAAGATAGACCCGGACGGCGGCAGCAGCCGCCACAGGTTAGATCTGCTGAGCGGCGG